TACATCTCTAGGTTCTAGATTTCTTGGAGTTACAAATATACAAATTTCTCAAATCTGGAGCTTTGGCAAATAGATAGAGAGAGAGAGAGAGAGAGAGAGAGAGAGAGAGAGAGAGAGAGAGAGAGAGAGAGATTATTGGGAGTTTCTCTATTATATATCTAGATAAGTGTAGCTCATAGGCAAACATATCTGTAACCTAGGTGGTCAGATAAGCCTTAGTAGCTCAGTCAGGTCCTAGATTCGACTTCATATGGGAGCGAATTTAAATAGACCTAAAGCTGAAAAACACATCTTGACGATTATGTTCATGAGTTATATATGTGTAACCGCCTAAGCCGTAGGTAAGGCTGGACGAAAAACTCGAAGCTCGTTAGGTCGCTCGGCTCGTGGCTGGCTCGACTCGGCTCGTTATTATAACGAGCCGAGCCGAGCTAAGATTTTAGCTCGTTAGCTATAACGAGCCAACTCGAGTCAGCTCGCGAGCCACTCGCGAGCTAAACGAGCCAAGCTTCCAGGAAAAAAGTATCAAAACTTATATTAGTTTTTGTATTACTTCATGTCTTGCACTTTACAATTGACTGGTAACTGGTATAGACCCTATAAATTGACTGGTAACTGGTCTAAATGCATTTCTTTTATATTATTATTATTCTCAAACTTTAAATAAATGCAAATATTATATTTTGTGTATTTTTTATACCTGGTTCGCGAGCTTAACGAGCTAGTTCGAGCTTTTAACGAGCCGAGCCGAGCTGGCTTTATGGCTCATTAGGATAACGAGCCGAGCCGAGCTAGCTCGTTATCTTAACGAACCAGAACGATCCGAGCCGTAACGAGCCGAGCCAGCTCGTTATCCAGCCTTAGCCGCAGATATGTTTTGTAGGCCCTCGATAGTGGTGAGGAGGAAGGAACTAAATCAATGTGTGGTGAGGTGCCAAAGTAGGTACCATAGGTGATGTTAGATTTTTAACTAAAGTTTTGTTTGTATATACATAGAAAATGTTTTGATTTTATTTGGCAACTATAAAATATATGAGCTAGAACATATAAATAATATACAGACGAAAGCTATATATTAAATTTGGCCACCACCAACAGGATGACAAGAGTACCACTTGTTTTGGGCATTTTGGCATTGCCCTTACCTTTTCGTTTCAGATCCATGCTTAGTTTATTATGTTCACTGAATCAATGTGCTTCGTAAATTAATCAACTAGAAAACCAAACAAGTAATAACAACTAATAATTAATCAACAAATAAAATAAAGAATTCGAACAAATTGAATTACTCATATGCATGCATAAGCCCACCAACAGCAAGGAGTTGGTTTTGTTTGGTTCCATTTATTATCTATTTTTGTTCTTTTTCTTAGTTAGAAAGAAAGCTTAACTTCAAGAATGCCGTCAACAGATCAGAGAAACCTCATTTCGTCTCATAAATTAGTCTCAATCTATACAATTAGTTTTGTAATTAGTCTACTTTTAATACTCTATGTATGTATCCAAACATTCGATGTGTGACATGCTCTTTCTATTTTAATGAAACCACATAAAGCTTAATTAGACTCATGTTTAGTCTTTCTAATTAGTACCTAAATACCCGATATGACATCTACTAAACTTTAGTCCTTAGATCTAAACACTCTGTCAGACGTTTTGTTCTTCTCCAGAGCACATCTTGTCGTATGGGAAGCTCTACCCTGGCGCTCGATCGATGGCGGCACTTCTACTGGTAACCGGGCCTTCGTGTTGTTTCTCAATTGCGAAAGATATTTTTTCTTTTTTTTTTTGTTAACGCACAGTAGCTGTTTCTTTCAACGCAGGTCGAGTTTTTTTAAGGGCTTATTTAGTTCCTCTCCAAAACGCTAAATTTTTCAAGATTCCCCGTCACATCGAATCTTTAGACGCATGCATGAAGCATTAAATATAAAAAAAAAACTAATTATACAGTTTAGACGAAATCCACGAGACGAATCTTTTAAGCCTAATTAGACTATGATTGGACACTAATTACCAAATAACAACGAAAAATGCTACAGTTGTATTTTACCAAAATTTTCGGATCTAAACTGGGCCTAAGTCTATAAGCTCTCACAGAATTCTATGGTAACGCGGCCACGCCACACGGCTGCGGCTGCAGCAGTGTTATCGCTACAGAAAATGTCAGTTCATATGGGGCTGCAGCCGCAGCCTGTAGCTCAAACGAACACCCTGATTAAGCTGTGTACAGATACAGTGATCACTTTTCTACCTATATTCATTATTACGCTTAGAGGAAGCAGCAGGCGCCAAACCAATAGAGGCAAAAGAGGGCCAGCCTATAATAATGACGACCCTGAGCGCGACGGTGAACGCCGACTCGCGGGCTACACTCAACAAGTGGATGCCGATGGTGACGGCTGCCGGTGCAACATGACAGGCGACGGACTGGCCCGCGCTCTCGCTTTGTCTTTTCGCAGGATGTACTACTACATACTCGCTGCCTGCAGGCTGCAGTTGGGACCAAACCACTCACGTAAGGGCTTATTTGCATTGGAAGATTTTGAAAAGGAATCTATAATATTTTTCTCTTGAACTTATAAGCTAAAATTTATATTATTTTTTTTTTACAATAAAATAGATTCAGCCGATTTATCAGCCGGCTTATGTATCAGCCGAACAGATTCGGATCCCTCCGCCCTATAAGAAGTGTTGTTTTTAAATAAGACGAACGGTAAAACATGAAGTCTAAAAGTCAAAAATGATATTTTCAATAGGATGGAGTGAGTACGTTTTACTTTTTTTATAGGAGTATGTTTTACTTATATCACATGGTATTTGAAATGGAAGAATGAAAATTTCCTTCCCTATGAAAAGGCTTCCTTCCTTTGTGAATGGTGAAAATAAAACATCTAATTTAAGCTCTCGGAAAAGTTTCCTATATGTGAATGGAGGGTTGAGCGAATCATTATGCACTAGAATAGTGGAATGAATATGTCCTTATATTTCTGTGTTCCAAATAATCATTTCTATAAAATCCTTGTTTTCAATCCTTTGTTTTCTTACATTATTTTCTCTGTTTTGCATTTCTCTGTTCCGAACAGGTCTTAAGTATCCTGTGGTTGTGGCACGTCGTAGCCGGCAGCTAGCAGCATATATATATATATATATATATATATATATATATATATATATATATATATATATATATATATATATATATATATATATAGAATAAGTTATTCTGTAGTCACCTCCATTTACGATAATTTTTATACTTAATTTACGATAAAGTGAATACATATTTACGATAATTATAGTACTATAACACATGGGGATATTTACCGTAACATTATATTAAACCACTTAGTAAGGAGTTACTATAATTTTATAAATTAACATAGTAATTATCGTAACTCAGAGTGGCTACATAATTACTATATTATTCTGTAGCCACTTTGAGTTACGATAATTACTATGTTAATTTACGAGATTATAGTAACTCCTTAGTGAGTGGTTTACTGTAATGTTATGGCAAATATCGCCATGTGTTATAGTAACCCAACTGTCGTAAATATGTATTGAAATTATCGTAAATTAGTATATAAAATTATCGTAGATGGAGGTGGCTAGAGAATAACTTATTTTGTAGCTGGCTACTAAACGTACTATCCCTAGAGAGAGAGAGGAGTACCATGCATCTCTAATAAAAATAACTGTGAACTTTTGTTTCTTGTTTTCTGTCGTCTTTTCATCGTGCGTATAAAATGGTACTGTAGATTAAAAAAATGAATAGACAACTGGGGGGGAGGAGGTGCTCCATGATCGTAACTGGTCTGCGTCTGTTGTACCCCATTTATGTCAAATTATTGCCCCCACATGGCAACTTGTTTTCTGTCGTCTTCGTTAGGCCTCCCACAGTGTGAAGTAGAGCCAGAAAAATAAGTGGGTCCGACTGCAGGACAAGCATCGTTTCTCGTAGCTGCAGTGTGTAAAAGAGTTAGCACTGATACTATCTTTTGTCATGCGACGGTACGGGTGCTGCCTATTGGCTTTCATCTGACACCAACATATGCTCTCCTCTCACAGAACACAAGAAATATTGTTTTTAAGTCCACAGGCAGCGCTGCCTCTACTTGCTCCGCTCCAGAATCTTTGAAAGTTGGCATTGGTAGCTGCAGGATAGAGAGTGATGTCTGGAAGGAAGAGAGAAGGTTTGGGCATCATTTAGGAGCACATTGCGGAGGGCCTATATCGCCCGTATAAATGGTGGATATTATGGTCTCGTTCGCGTGCCCTTAAATCTGGTTTAATCCACTTCTTTTTTCATTCAGAATAGTGTTTTTCTCTCACATATTCCTCCAAACCATTTAAATTTCTCCAGAATTCCTCCCAGACCCTATATATGTATATAAATAAATAAACAAAGACTAGGCAACTCGATAGGAGCTGATGATTGAACTACTGTATGCCCGTAGTAGTAGTAGGTAGCCTTTTGGTTTCCCCCGAGAGAGATCGAGATGCCTCTGGTCCGTCCGTCGGCGTGACCGCGTGGCATGACATTTCCTTTTCAACCAGAGCCTGTTGGTTTGTAAATAATCGTGGATTATAAATTAAAATAGTATTTTGTTCTCACACTTAGCAGTAATATTTTTTTCTTATCTTGTGTTTCCCCGGCCGGCCGGCCCCTGGCCCTGATAGGAATCCTCTGGAGGACATGCATCGTGGCCTCATGTCTGCGACTTGTTCCTGGCCCGCTGCTGTTGCGGCGCTGCACTGCATGCCCAAACACGTGCGGAAAAGCGTGCGCCACACCGGTCGGTTCACGTACGTTAGTTGCTGCTGTACTCGTATTTTATTTTATTTTATTTAATCCCCGGTGCGCCGGCCGGTTAATGGCCACAATGCACGTGTAGGAATAGGAGTACAGTTTTATATTAGTATTTTTAAGCTATCGCAGAACAGTCGCCACACAGTACACTCTCACATACAGGCAGCTAGGTAGACTCTAGCTAGCTATAATGGAGCATCAGGAGCTGGACCTTGAGCTCAGCCTCCAGCCCTTCTCGGCGGCGGCGGCGGCGGATCCTCCGGGATTCTTCGTCTGCACCTACTGCGACCGCAAGTTCTACAGCTCGCAGGCGCTCGGCGGCCACCAGAACGCGCACAAGTACGAGCGCACCCTCGCCAAGCGCCGCCTGGAGATCGCCGCCGCCATGCGCGCGCACGGCGCCCGTCAGGTCGACGCCGCCGCCTCCACCTGCAGGCCAGGTGGGGACCAAGCGCCTGCAGTAGTGCAATCTGCCGCCTTGCTGCGCGGCAAGAGCAGCTCTCTGGAGCACGGCGGCGTCGGGCGCGCCGACGAGTTGGACTTGTCTCTCAAGCTATGATGATTAATTGTGCATGTCTCGATTATTTTTTTAGCCTTTTGCTGCACGTCTATATCTTCTTCTTCTTCTTCTTTTAGATTTCTACGGGGATATATAGCCAGCCCTCTATATCTCTTCTCTTTGGCTTCGCCTGTTTTCCAATATGATTTCGTTTCTCTCCAGCTGCATGCTCGTTATTGGTGCCTCTTGCATATATAAATTCAATCGAATCGATGGAATTTCTTGTCAAGGAAAAGGAAGGAGGACAAGTAGATTTATCCACTCGTTTCTCTTAATTTATATATTCTTCCCAAATTTGTTGATTAATTTTCTCACGGTACCCAATCAATTTTGGGTGTGGAGGGGCTTCTTCGATCGAGTGATTCAAGGTTGTTCCACTCGATTTATGGGCAACTGCTAATTTTCTCTACTACCATGTGTTCTCTTGAGTCTGTAAAGATTCGTTTCTTCACTCGTCTTCTTCCTCTCGAAGCGTCACCGTCGCCCACCGCCCACCACCGGAGATAGAGAAGAAGAGAGGGAGAGAAAGAGAAGAGAGAAAAATCAAGTGTTCCAATACTCGAGTGAGGTGTAGCATCTCTATATATACTAGAAATTGATTATCAAAATCCAAAGCCAAACATCTTTCTGCCACTACTGTAATCACACGATTTGATGTGAATTGGCTATCAGTATTTGTTGATTACGGAGCGACGATGACATTCTAATCCACACGAGATGTTATACACTCCTAGATATTTACTCGATTTCTCCACATTGGATCCCATCCTAGCCAATTCTTAACATGAGCTAATATTTCTTACTATTTTATTATTCCGTGGTGGATCCACCCCGCGGCCACCTCACACTAGTAGAGAACAGACCTTTGATCCTCGGTCAAAATGGGCTCTAGTTCCGACATTTTTTGCGCCCGGGACCAGAGATACCTTTAGTCCCGGTTGGTGGCTCCAACCGGGACTAAAGGTCCCTGCCCAACGGCTATTGCGCCAGGCAGAGGTGGCAGGGACCTTTAGTCCCGGTTGGAGCCACCAACCGGGACTAAAGGTATACTTTTACTCCCGGTTAGTGGCTCTAACCGGGAGTAAAGGTCTACCCCGGGCCGTGGTTGCGCCCGGGGTTAAAAAGTTACCTTTAGTCCCGGTTGGAGCTACCAACCGGGATTAAAGGTCCCTCCTTTATATCCCGGCCGTCTTCTTCTTCCTCCCCGAACCCGAGCTCAGCACATTTTGAAGCTCACTGCACTAGTGTTCTTGCTTCCTCCCCCCCTCCATTGTTCCTCCATCCATTATTCGATTCCTCCGTCAATTTCTTCGATTCCTCCGTCGATTCTTCAGTTGTAAAGGTTACCAATCTCATACTCTCATTTTTCACAATTATCTTCTCTCATTTTGTTCACTATATATATCGTTCTTTATTGTGGTTTTTTTCATTTGTAAGCAATTTGAGCTCAAAATCACTCCAAGCTTGCATATTTACATGAAAGAAGGTTAAACTAGCTAGTTGAACTTGCGGACCGTGTTCATCTCGGCGAGCATGTTCTCTGCCGAGCGGTAACGGACGTCAAGGAGGAGCTTTGATTCTACGAGGGAGAGCGGCAACGGTCGTGGAAGACCGTGTTCCCTTCCTCGTAGAATCGGAGCTCTTCCTTGACCAAGTACGGTGCCGTCCGGTGGAGAAATACTCGCCGAGATGATCACGTAAGCAAGGTCAACTAGTACGGATGGTTATTTATTAAAACATGTTTTTGAGATATAGATAATTTTATAGTTTCTTAATTTTATTTGTTTATAAAATGAGAAATTTATAGTGTATTAAAAATGAGTATAGAGAGTAGATGGCAACTGCTTTCGGGTCCTCGGCCTCTCATGGGTTTCCAAAGCGACTTAGGTCGGGCCTCCCTCCCATTCCATGCGGCAAGTGTCGTGATGAGACGAAGATTGTGATGGAGTACCAAGTGAAGAAGGAGGGTCCCAACAAGAATCGTATCTTCTACAAGTGTCCGGATCGCAATGTGAGTTATTTTATCGTATTTAATGATTATGGTTAGTTTATACCTATTTTCATGATGGTTGTGATTAAAGTTCTAATTTTTTGTTTTAATTTCAGTGGGATGGCAGTGGACGATGTTCAGGCTTCTACTGGGAGGAAGAGTATGTTGAACTCGTGCAAAAATATCTTGCACAACAGGCAGATACGGCGGCTAATGAGGCAGTGATCCAGCCGAAGAAGGCCAAAGATGTTGCACAATCGTTGGATCTGTCTGTTTTAGTTGAGATTGGTCGCGAAATCCTTGTGCTCCTAAAAAGTATTTTAGCTTTAGTTCTTTTAGTGGTAGTTGGGATTGTCTACATTGTAGCGATGCTTTCATAAATTTGTACCTTTTATGGTGGCACACTTGTTGTATAAATAATTAATTATGATCTAGGTTTTAATATAGTATTTATGTCATGTAATGCAGATGAGCCGGCATTGGATGTACAATGCTGATCGCCGCTCCCAAGAGTTCATTGACGACGTGCATTCTTTGTTACTTGCGGCCGAGGCAAACAAACGCGACGATTTCATATGCTGCCCATGTGCCATATGTAAGAATACGGTGGAATATCCTTTCTCAAGGACTCTTCATTCATACTTGTTCAAGTCGGGTTTCATGCCAAACTATATTTGTTGGACGAAGCACGGAGAAACCGGCGTTGTAATGGAAGAAGGTGAAGAAGAACAATGGGACGACAATGATAATATTCCCGATGGTGCGTGCTTCAATGATACTGCAATGGGAGAAGCTGAAGAAGAGGTAGCCACAGAAGATGAGCCTGCTGATGATCTTTGTCAGGTCATTCGTGACGCACAAAGAGAATGTGAAAGTGAAAAGGAGAAGATCAAGTTCGAGCGGATGCTAGAAGATCACAACAAATTGTTGTACCCAACTTGTGATGCAGGGCAGAAAAAGTTGGGAACCACACTAGAATTGCTGCAATGGAAGGCAAAGAATGGTGTATCTGACAAGGGATTTGGAGAGTTACTACAAATCCAAAAGAAGATGCTTCCGAAGGACAATGAATTGCCCTCCACTACCTACGAAGCAAAACAAGTTGTCTGTCCTATGGGGCTAGAAATCGAGAAGATACATGCATGTCCTAATGACTGCATCCTGTACCATGGCAAAGAGTACGAGAAATTAGATGCATGCCCGGTATGCCATGCATCGCGGTATAAGATCAGGCGAGATGACCCTGGTGAAGTTGAGGGCGAACGTCCACAGAAGAAAATCCCTGCCAAGGTTATGTGGTATGCTCCTATAATACCACGCTTGAAACGTCTGTTCAGAAACAAAGAACATGCAAAATTGTTGCGATGGCACAAAGAAGACCATAAGGTAGACAATATGTTGAGACACCCTGCTGATGGGTCCCAGTGGAGAGCAATCGACAGAGAATTCCCGGAGTTTCCAAATGATGCAAGAAACTTAAGGTTTGCTTTAAGTATAGATGGTATCAATCCTTTTGGAGAGCAGAACAGTAGTCATAGCACTTGGCCTGTTACTCCAAGTATCTACAACATTCCTCCTTGGTTATGCATGAAGCAGAAGTTCATTATGATGCCTGTGCTCATCCAAGGCCCGAAGCAACCTGGCAATAACATCGATGTGTACCTGAGATCACTTATTGACGAACTTCTCATTTTGTGGAATAAAGAAGGTGTACGTGTGTGGGATGAGTACAAACAGGAACACTTTGATCTACGAGCATTGTTGTTCGTAACAATCAATGATTGGCCTGCTCTAAGTAATCTTTTAGGACAGTCAAACAAGGGATATAATGCATGCACACACTGCTTCGGTGATATTAGAGATGTATTCTTGAAAAAATGTCGAAAGGTCGTGTACCTTGGCCATCGTCGATTTCTTCCTGCAAATCACCCCGTAAGAAAGAAAGGCAAGCATTTTAAAGGGAAGGCAGACCACCTGACCAAGCCTCGCAACCGAACCGGTGAGGATGTACTCGATATGGTCAATGATGTGAAAGTCGTCTTTGGAAAAGGACATGGAAGCCAACCTGTTCCGAACGACGCTAATGGTCACGCACCCATGTGGAAGAAGAAGTTCATATTTTGGGACCTACCCTATTGGCAAGTCCTAGAAGTCCGCAGCTCGATCGACGTGATGCACCTGACGAAGAATCTTTGTGTGAACCTGCTAGGCTTCATGGGTGTGTATGGAAAGCCTAAGGACACATTTGAAGCACGACATGACCTGCGTTGTTTGAGAGAAAGAGACAACCTGCATCCAGAGAAGACAGATGATGGACGCCATTACTTACATCCTGCCAACTACACTCTAAGCAAAGAGGAGAAGGAAATCATGTTTGAATGCTTAAACAACATCAAGGTACCATCTGGATTCTCCTCGAATATAAAGGGTATTATAAATATGCCAGAGAAGAAATTCTGTAACTTAAAGTCTCATGACTGTCACGTTCTCATGACGCAAATACTTCCAGTTGCATTAAGAGGAATTCTACTTCCAAATGTACGTCTAGCCACCGTGAAGCTATGTGCATTCCTCAATGCAATTTCTCAGAAGGCAATTGATCCAACTGATCTAGCTAAACTACAGAATGATGTGGTTCAATGTCTCATCAGCTTTGAGTTGGTGTTCCCTCCTTCCTTCTTTGATATCATGACACACCTCCTAGTTCACCTAGTCAAGGAGATTTTCATTCTCGGTCCTATGTTCCTACACAACATGTTCCCCTTAGAGAGATTCATGGGAGTCCTAAAGAAATATGTTCACAACCGTGCTCGCCTAGAAGGAAGCATCGCCAAGGGCTATGGAACAGAAGAGGTCATTGAGTTCTGTGTTGACTTTATTCCCGACCTTGACTCGATTGGTGTTCCTGAATCGAGACATGAGGGGAGACTAAGCGGAAAGGGGACACTAGGGAGGAAAACATATATTGGTACGGATGATGATTATTTCAATAAAGCGCACTACACAGTTC